ACCTGCCATTTGACCAAATTCATTGACAAATTTGCATAAATATAGAGGTGATGCATAAATAATTTGAATAAAAAACTTTTGTTATTATTAGTTGTCTTGTTCCTTTGCATGCAAATTATTGGGAGGCATGCAAAAAATACACAAATGCTTTCTGGATGTATTTGAACTGATCTAAAGCACTTTTTTGTTTGCCAAAACACCCAAGACTACGCAGAAAAAAACAAGAATTGTATTATTTTATTTTATTGTTGCATAAAATCATATGCAATGTTTTATGGACTTCACTCAAGCACTCTCATGTGAACTGCTTTCGGAAGTAATGGAAGGTCTAAATGGAAGGTCATCTCGACCCTCATTACTGTCAAAAAAATAAATAAAAAATCCTACACAATTTTCTTAGCTGTACAAACCCCTCAGTCCCCTTCCTTTTATCTCCACCCCCCCAAACATGTGCGATTAGCTCATTTGTCAATTTTGGTTAAGTAACAAAATTGCACTGATTCCGTGAGTACATGGACTTTGCTATAAAGAGTCAATGTTTGGACAGTCAGTTGTTGCATAAATGTTACAGTAAAGAGTCTCATCACAGAGGAAAAAGCTGAAAAGGCCTACCGGATAACCCCCCTATCCCACAATCTGAGGCCCGCGTCCTTGCCTGTCAGCATCGACACGCCTCCAAAAGAATTCCAACACTTCCTGTGTAAAGTCCTTTGACCCAGAGTACTTATCACACCAGAATTAAAAACATTCACAGCCGTGTTCTACTGTCAGCCTGCCATCGACTCTCAATTTAGCTGAACGTTCACAGGAATAACAAACTCGTAGATATGTTGGGGCGTGTTAGAACGAGCCGTTTAAGGTAGGTGTGGCTGACTCTTAACTTTTATAAAGAATATCTCTTTGGATTTGAGACTTTAGTCTTTGCAACTTTACAGATCTTCTTTATGCACCAAGAGCTTATAACACAAAGAGAAAGGAAAACTTGAAATCGCATCATATGACCACTTTAAAAAAAAAAAAAAGGTGTTTTGGAGGCTCGTACTTTTCACTTGTGAAAAAGTAAAATTATTATTATAATATTTATTATCTTAATTAGAGTTTTTTTTATTATCAATGAATGTGTTTTTCAGTGTTTCAAAGCATGTAATTCTAATGACGTTTTTATAAAAAATAAATACATCGATTAAATAATGTGAATATATATTTAACATAAAAATATATACAATTCATATAAAATATATGCAATTATATAAGGACACATTATATTAGAATATTATGATTTCTAAGAAAGTGTTATTTGTATAAGTCTATTATATGTCTTTATTTTGTGCTACTGACGAGGTGACTGCATCGTATAAATAAATGGACAAGAAATATTGATTTGAGTTGACATTATTAAAAGTTAATTAATACAATTATTAAAAGACTTAATTAAAACGATCAATGCATTTTTAAAAATAGTTTTTGAAATATTAAATTCATATATAAATGAATATGAATATACATTTCACGTATCAAAAATATTTTTATTTTGATATTTTTATAATTATTGAATTACTGAAATGTTTATTTTGCACTAAAGACCAGCTGACTGCACTGTATATGAATAAATGGGCATTAACTATTCATTTGAGTTGACATTCTTTTATTATAAGAGTATTTCAGTGAACAGTATAAATATACATGGGTATATAATTTGTTGTTCTGTAAAAATAAAAAAACCGAACCTTTGGTTGCTGTTTTTTTTCTCACACCGATAGTGTGTATAGTAAATTCAACTTTTTGAGTTCCTTACATTTGTGTTTTAACATCAAACATAAAACATGAAACATGTTGTTTACAGGAAATATCCTGAACAATCCATGTGAGACGGAAAGGAAATTTTGCATAAAGAAACAGACAATGCCTAAATACTTTGCATAAAATTATTGTTCTGTTGTTTTTTTCTTTTTTGTCTGTTTTCTTTTCCTCTATATATTCTAAACAAATGTATAAATGTATAAATCATAAGAAAAACCACAGTTAAATTGACAGCCCTAATAATCTCGTTAATTGCTTATTTTATACTTATTTTATTTCATGCTGATATTGACATTTTTATTACTATATTGAATATTGCCAATATTTTATCCAAAACAATCATTTTCATAAAACGTGGCTTATGCTGCTAATGAACTAAATGAGAATAAAAGTCTAATAAAAATAATGAAGAATGTAACCAGTATCAGCCAGATTAACCCTGTTCAATGGCAGGATGGGAATATAACAATGAGTCATGTGAGGATGATGAAATGACAGGATGAAACATCCGCGGCTGTCTGTGTCTGTTGATGAACCAACGTTCATTCACCTTTTATAACTGCCAGCTATTTGATCCACTAGCACACAGACTCGTGTCTTTGTCTTCATTCACAGAAAGTATTTTTGGAAATATACATCCATTGTTCCCCTGCAGTCACACCCGAATACAACCGCTTAAACAGACTGCCATTCCCACACACAGATCCATAGTTAAGTGTAAATATAGGCGTACAGACACGCAGGCGCACTGACTCTTGGGTAATATAGTAACAGAACAGAAACAGAAGCGCCGTAAAACAAACAAACATGACCGCAACTGTCCATCACAGCGGTGCAAATAAACTTGACTGTGAGCCATAACAAACCAGTTGTGTTCTCCAACTTGACGATGGGCCATCGTAAACATGCGAGGGAAACAAGCTCAGTGGGAACAAGCATGTTCTCACATTGATTTAACACAGGGATTTACCATTTCATCCTACTGGGGAAGAAGGGGAGGGTGAAAGACGTCACTGATTTTTCTCCATCTTGGAGAGGTTTGTTTTTCTGTTTGAAATGTTTAAGACATACTGTTTATGTGCACTTTGCACGTGATGAGAATTTTTCCCTGGGAGATCAATTCCATTGTAACTTTCTCTTTTGAACCTCAAAAATGTTTCATTACATTGATGATCTTTATTCAGTGTAGTTATAGTAATGCTCACTAGGGGGCAGCAAACAAGAGACAACAGCTTACTAATACAGAATTATCTATCTATCTATCTATCTATCTATCTATCTATCTATCTATCTATCTATCATTATTAGACTAATGCACTTAAATGACATAATTTCTACACATATTTACAGTAGGATATATTGTAGTGTGTTGATTTTGTATTTAGGAGGCCCAAGCTCATGTGTGACCTTATTCTTTTGTACTCATTGCATGTCATTCTTTTCATAGAATAAGCCTATTGTTTGGGCATTGCATCAAGCCATTCTCTATTATTCCTAATTAAATTGGTTTATCCAATCACACGGCCTCCTATATTTATTAAAACTCATTATTTACGTGGGAAGCTTTTTATCTAATTCCAATTGAAAGCATTAACATTATCATATGTTTTCAGAAAACCACCACAGCTTAACAGACGGCTTGTGTTTCGGTTTGTACCAGATTCATTGGCCGTGGCGTGTAGTTACTCATGTAACCTAATTGGCACATACAGTGAATGAGAGATCAGAGGGGAAACCAATTGCTCTCATCTGAAATTTGGCTCCAGGTCACAGTTCTGTCGTCACATGATTTTTCATGATTATGTAAATGGAAACACTTGCCAACCTGGTTAATTCCTAGACACGTACAGTACATCCTGCAGGTCTCTAAGAATGACTTCACTAATCAGTCACCTTGGTTCATTATACACTTCACTTGATGAATTTTCCAATAGCATACCAATTCATGCAAGTACGTATTTGCTCATTTAAAACTATGACTGAAAAAAAAACTTTAATAAATGCCCAACACTGACCTGAATAAGGGACATATATTGTCCAACTGCGAAGCTGTGAGACATTTCTAAGGAGAAAAGAAAGAGATTGTGAAGAATAGTGTAAACTATCCATTTCAATAGTTCATCTTAGATTTTTTTCAGCATTTTGATATCAGGAAATCCCTTTAAATCTTTTGTGTATTTGTTATTGATGGCACGATTGTTGCTTAAACATGGGCTAAAAATCATTTAGAGGCTAAAACTGAACTAAGCTCGTGATATTTCCTTGATTTTTGCTGCCACAAATATTTGAAGTTCAATGTTTGTTTGTCAAATGCTCAACTAGCATTAAAACGGCACCATGACCATAAAAAAATGTAAATAAATATTAAATAATATATATTTAATGACATGCCGATTTAAGAAAATTTCACTATTCATATTCTTGGGTTTCCAGTGAAAATATGCATATTAAATAAAACAATAACTAACACTACAGCCCATTCAAACGCCACACAAGTGCACTCTTCTTTATATAGTACATTTAGGACTAATTGAATAATATAAAATGACTTTGCCGATAATATCACCACCTGTTTTGCAACAAAAGCGCAAAAGAAGTGCTTGTTTTCTGCAACAATTGAAAGAGAATGTCTATCCAATCAATTATCACCAAATGCACATTAGAGACGTGCGAGGGTGCGTCCTGCCCTCCTGAATTTCTGGGGAAGTCAACCAGTCCTAGCATCCTTATCCCCTCTGCACACTCACAGCAATGCTGAGAGATAAGAAGAGAGAAGGGGTTTTGTGAGAATTAGTAAAACGAGGTGGAAAATTCTTGTAAATGATGTTATTGTTACTTGTATATATGTTATTGTTATTTAAAACTTGCCTTTTGTTATTGATCACAATGTGTAACAATGCAAAAGCTATTGCTTATCTCATAAAGCCATAGTCCTAAGTCATATTCAAACCATCATTTAATAGCCTGCATTTTACAAGCAGCCCTAAAAATTCAATATCAAGCAAAGTTACGCGTACAAGGAATAGGGGACTAACGGTGTTTGAAGCCAATCAAGTTTGCACATATATCAGTGACTCAGACTTGCAGAATGATGATGGGTGAATAAGGGTGACACACCTTTGAAAAATCGCGTTGTAGTCCCGCCCAGTCCATATTTAAACGCGTCAATGTCATCTGAACCTCAGACTTCACAAGAGCTGATCTTGGCGAGCGCGTGCGCACCCGTGGGAAAATCCTCGAGACAGTTTTGCGCGTGGCATTAGATCTTCACCTGAGATAAAGGTCAGTAACGTTTATATATATATATATATATATATATGATGCACTTAAATCAAATATACTCAGAATGAGTTTTTAAATGGAACTAAGAAAAGGAGGAGGCTGTAATAATTAGTTGGTAACTAATTAGAGCTGATGCACTAATACAGCCTACTTTGTGCACGGCTTTAACCCATTTTGTGTGTAACATTAAATCATTTAACTATTAAATGCAGGTAGCATTACTACAGATATTTTATGCACAGCAAATGCTTGCAGTAGCCCAATGTGTTTTTAATTTGCGCGTGGGGGGATATCTAGTAGGCATCAATTAATATTTTCCACCCCTTCATTTCAGGAACAGTTGAAACACCACAGTACCCCGAAGTTGGACTTTTGGTCTGACTTGGAAGTTTCAGTTGCTGGAAATTCAATATTGTCCAGGTGCATTGGAAGGTGCCTCCTGACCAAGGGGGCGTGAGAACATTATTCGCCCACGATGAGAGCGCTTTTCCCGGTTTTTGTGTATTGCATCAGCCTGCTCTCCTCACAACTGCTGGCTCTACCGGTGAGAAACAGGTAGGAATCTGCTTTTTAAATAGCCTATCTAAAATTTGATATAGTAGCCTATGTAGGTAAGCAAGCCTATATGTGCAGACTTCTGTTGAATGAACGGCTGCGCTGTACTATTAAAGGAGCCGTTCTTTTGAGTCGAATCTTTCTAATGAATCCGCTGAACCGGTCTGAGCGATTTAACCTGAGCTGTTCTCGAGTCATCAAATCACTGACTTAAACCGAAAACCGTCTACAAATATTTAATTTCGTAACATTTCGAAAAGTTACGTTACTTTTTAGAAATGTTGCGAGGACAAAGTACTGGGAAAAATTATTTTGCATGTAAATGTTGGCAAATGGGAAAAAAAATATTTTTTATATTTGTATTATACATTGAAAATGATAAGGATGTTATGTTTTTATGAACTGAATAAGAGCACATGAAATTAAAAATAAAGACCTTTATTAATAAAACACTTTCATGAACAGCAGCAAAGAGCTTGTAGCCTTGCCGGTGAATCTTTCATTCACGGATCATTCAAATGATTCATTCAATGAAACGGATCATTCAAAAGAACCGATTCGATGAAAAGAGTCAAACGCGCAAAGTGAATCTTTGCTCCTTCAAAAAGTTAAACACACATGATGAAAGACAAACTTAACTGCAGTTTTCAGCAACATTTCGAAGTAGCCTGGCACTATGTATTATATACAAAAGTAGATTGTAACACAAAGAGAGGATGTTATGTCGCGACAGATAGTGGTTGAAGTGAACAAGGTCAGTTAGGGTGGTAGACGTGACTGTATAAACGCACGCACCCCACCATTCACAGTTGGCTGCCGGCAGGCTTTTTTAGAAAAGCATGCTTTTTCAGTAATAATATTTAGAATATATAAACATACAGTCTATTATAAAAATGCATATCAACTAAATCGTTCATATACATTCATATACAAAGCTTGCATTATATTTGTAACTGAATGCACATTGAATGCTGGTGTAAAGAATCACATGACCAGAGCTGTTTCATTGCAGCTTGCGCCTCTGAAAGGTGACGTGTGTTAAACCTCCATCAATTGAAATATGAAAAATACATATACATAAAAATAATATTTAAAGAGCCTACCATTACATACTATTACATTATGCTTACCAGTGTTGGGGAAAGTTACTTTTAAAAGTAATGCATTACAATATTGCGTTACTTCCTAAAAAAAGTAACTAATTACGTTACTTTTTATTGAAAGTAATGCATTACGTTACTTTTTAAATCTGAGCTGGGCTTGCTTGTTCGCTTTTAATATAAAAAGTTGTATTTTTGGCAAATATAAAAGCCCTTTCACACCAAAAGCCTACAGACTTCACGTCTGTACAGTAGAACACAGAAGAAGAAAGTTCAACACTCTTCAGCAATAAAAAAAGAAGAAGAAATGTTCGTTTATCTTGTGTAATTTTTGCTTATTAGTATGGTTGAATTGGATCACCCGATGTCAGCAGCAAATTGGTTAATAAAATGGGATTAAATACATAAAGGATATTTGTATTACCGTATTTAACATATTTAATTATTGCAGCTTTGAGTCATATTCTGAGCTGCTTTTAACTGGTTTTATTCATTTTTATTAATAAACGAAATCAGTTTTTTGTTTTTTTTGTGAGTGAGTGAGATGAATTAATGCATGTTCACATTTCTTCTAGAACTAAAGTAACATCTTACTACCCGATTTCTCTCAACAAGGGGACAGGAGAGCTTTCAATCAATAAATGGGGGGGAAAAAGTAACTGGCATTACTTATTTGAAAAAGTAACTAAGATATTTTCTTGTAAATTAAAAAGTAATGCGTTACTTTACTAGTTACTTGAAAAAAAAGTAATCTGATTACGTAAAACTCGCGTATTCCAGCAGTTACATTTATTATCAGTGGGGAAGCCCAAAACCTTCTTCTGAAAAAGGAACTGACTGAGGCACATTATGAAAAACAGATTTCAAAGTATTATTACATTAAATGAAAGTAAATTACTTTATTATTGGATTTGATTTTTATTTCCTTTTCCCCTATTTTTTCCTGATAATAAGAAAAGCTTCAGTTTGTATTGGGTCTTATTGGGGAACTTTTTTATTGTAGTAGTTTCCCACCGATAATGAAACACACTTTCAGTAACTTTCCTGAACCTTTATTGGGAAAGGCATATAGTTTGTTTCCAATGAGTTGAAATTTTTTTTTTAAATGGGTTCAGATAATAACTAACTTTTACTATATACAATGTACCCTTTTACATAAGGTAAGCAGTGAACATCATTGCATCATGCAATTTTTGGCTCCTAACCTCACAAAACAAGTCATTAGTCACTTCCCAAAAGACATTGGTGCACAGCATGTGATTAACAGAATACTTTATTGTGACCGCCATGCCTTCTGAAGTGACACAAATTAATGTACAATGTGTTTTTTTTTTTGTGATAAGCACTTGCGTCACTTCTGAGTCAAGGTTAGCCGAATAAGAAACAGCCTGATGCAAAAGTATAATTAAATATTCAACAAATCTGACAAAATGATAGATTATTTAATTATTGCAGCTTTGAGTCATATTCTGAGCTGCTTTTAACTGGTTTTATTCATTTTTATTAATAAACGAAATCAGTTTTTTGTTTTTTTTGTGAGTGAGTGAGATGAATTAATGCATGTTCACATTTCTTCTAGAACTAAAGTAACATCTTACTACCCGATTTCTCTCAACAAGGGGACAGGAGAGCTTTCAATCAATAAATGGGGGGGAAAAAGTAACTGGCATTACTTATTTGAAAAAGTAACTAAGATATTTTCTTGTAAATTAAAAAGTAATGCGTTACTTTACTAGTTACTTGAAAAAAAAGTAATCTGATTACGTAAAACTCGCGTATTCCAGCAGTTACATTTATTATCAGTGGGGAAGCCCAAAACCTTCTTCTGAAAAAGGAACTGACTGAGGCACATTATGAAAAACAGATTTCAAAGTATTATTACATTAAATGAAAGTAAATTACTTTATTATTGGATTTGATTTTTATTTCCTTTTCCCCTATTTTTTCCTGATAATAAGAAAAGCTTCAGTTTGTATTGGGTCTTATTGGGGAACTTTTTTATTGTGGTAGTTTCCCACCGATAATGAAACACACTTTCAGTAACTTTCCTGAACCTTTATTGGGAAAGGCATATAGTTTGTTTCCAATGAGTTGAAATTTTTTTTTTAAATGGGTTCAGATAATAACTAACTTTTACTATATACAATGTACCCTTTTACATAAGGTAAGCAGTGAACATCATTGCATCATGCAATTTTTGGCTCCTAACCTCACAAAACAAGTCATTAGTCACTTCCCAAAAGACATTGGTGCACAGCATGTGATTAACAGAATACTTTATTGTGACCGCCATGCCTTCTGAAGTGACACAAATTAATGTACAATGTGTTTTTTTTTTTGTGATAAGCACTTGCGTCACTTCTGAGTCAAGGTTAGCCGAATAAGAAACAGCCTGATGCAAAAGTATAATTAAATATTCAACAAATCTGACAAAATGATAGATTTACAGTGGGAGTATGTTATCAGGCACTTTTTTCCCGAATGCACATTTGATTGGCAGCAAATCTCTGAAATAGTATATTGAGAAAACTGCAATTTAAACATATTAAAGCAACGACATTCTTTGTCGAGTCATTATTGCTAGCTGACGACTGATGACGGCACCCATAAGGAATGAATTGCTAAGTATGTATGAGTGTCTGTGTGTGCCCTCTTCTGGCTGACACCTGCTGTGCTCACTTGGGTTTTGCTGAGCTGTGCATTTCTCTTCATCTTGTTTCTCTCCACAATATTAGGAACAGACAAACAAAAACTGATCATTCAAGCTTTGAAAGGCTGCACTAGAAAACTGTATTCCATAAGTTTAATGGATAGTTTTTTTCTCAGAACTTAATCTTGCCTTCATAGCAGCTCATTAAAATCTTCTGGAAACTTTTCCCCACCCCATAATGCCTTATGTGTCAAACCAAAATGTCAAGGATGGACTTTAAATGTCCTTGATCTACAGTATTTACAGTATAATTGTGACACATGCAAGCCGCATGCTTTTCTGCTGGGCCTTGTGATATTTGGTGAGAACATTAGACTGATATTGAGTCACAGACCTCTGATTTAAAGTTACAATAAACAACTGATAAATACTGTTGTGTTAGGCAGTTTCTGATTACTGTAATAGTATCAGGTGGCTTTAAAGAGACAGTTCACCAAAAAATGAAACTTCTGTCATCATTTACTTACCCTCATGTCATGAGATGCTTCTCTTCTGCATGCAAAAGTGGATCAAATCTCCAAAAAGCCTGATAAAAGCATCATAAAATAGTCCCTATCTAGTCTACTTTTTTTTGTCTTTGACCTTTCGATATCTCTCAGTAGTGTCCTAATTCTTCTTGGAGAACTTTGCGTTCTTTACATGGACTCACTTAGTGTTCGATAAGCATCCATGTACACAGAACGTACAGCAACCTTTGCGATACCAGCCAGGGATTTTTATTGTTTGACATGCTTTGACACGCTGTCCCTGAATCGAACATGGCCTGTTCTGGAGGTTTAAACACTTTTTTTGAAGGAAACGGGTCTCTGAGAATAGCTATGCAAAACATAGCCTAGTTTTCTCCCTTACATAATATCTTGAGGTTTAGTTTGTGAGAGAATATGCAGAGAGAAGCCAAGTGACAAGTCAAATGTACATTTAAATCAACAGCTGGAAACTGGATGCTTATTTGCGGTATCGTCTGCATTCCATGACCGAAATGGTTGTTGTTTGGTTCAGCGCTGTGTTAGAGAAGATATATGAAGCTCTTGGTATAAATTACTGACTTTTTATCCTCTTTATAATCATTAATGCCAACAGCCGGAAACTGGATGCTTATTTGCGGTATCGTCTGCATTCCATGACCGAAATGGTTGTTGTTTGGTTTAGCGCTGTGTTAGAGAAGATATATGAAGCTCTTGGTATAAATTACTGACTTTTTATCCTCTTTATAATCATTAATGAAGAAGATTTAAAGGAAGTTGAGGTTACTGTCTATTATAGAGCATCAGATTAATCAATGTTCTTCTGCTCTCAGTTAAGTTTGGTTGACATATTGGAGGAAACCGATCCCAAAGTTCACTTTTTCTGTGCTATGCTGGTTCACACTCAATGGGAATCTGGGCCGCTCATTGTTTGGACTTGAGTTATGCAGTCTTCCGTTTACAACATAAACATTAGCATTTTACACCACGCTGCTTGGTCATTATTGCTAGCAGCGAGAGGGAAAACTCATCCGTCAGGCAGAATTCCGTTGTGGATTAGTAGCTAAGACCAGAATTCCTTTCTCCTCATCCTCAAGCGGCATGTTTCCACTCTGAACTGAAACCATAAAACCCATAAAAACAAACACAAGAGGAGGAAGGACTCGAAATGCCCCTAGTTACCGCTATACGCTAACCATTGACAGGTTTAAATTACTCTCACTTTTTTGAGTTTCACTATTCAATTCACAGTTTAACCCTTAATGTGCTGTTTCTCCAGTCTATATTCAACAGTCAAGTATTTATATGGAGCATGTTTAAGGTGGTTTAGAGGACAAGGGTCATTTTCCTTGGTTTCATGAACTAATCTAACATTGGTCAATTTAATTACTCAAAAAACTAGCTGTCTCAGCTGTCTCAGCAGACAGCCTTTCACAATTTTATTTCTATCTATCTCCACCCTCACCACCCATTAACTGAATGTAGATTATCAGAGTGGTATATGTAGCATATTATTACTATGGCACTTCAACTTATAATTAAAAAATATATATATTTAACATTAAATAAGCATTATTTTAGATGGATAAATAGATAAAACATATTATATCTAATTAAATATATTTAAAAAAAATTATATAATATATATTTGGGTTGCAACCACCATTGCAACTACTCTAATACTAAGCATTCTCTTTTTTTTCTACTGTACCTGAGCATAAAATCAGCATTATGTGCCATACAAGGATATATCTCGTAGTAACTGGAGAAGGTCACTTGGTTTGACTTATGGTCACGTAACCTATTTAAGAGCAGGTACAGCTAAATATAACCTGCTTATGACCAATTCACAAACAGCCATGACCAGTTTCAGAGAGGTGCAAAAATCACGGGCTTACGAAAAGAACAAACAATAATACTGGATTGATCTGACCTGCCTCTCTCAGTGGAGGATCACAGAATAAACCGCAATCAGCTATCAAATCTCCTTGTTTTCCCACAAAGAAATTATTCCTACAAGGCATCACAGAGTTTTGGTGGCAGTCTGCCAGCACCAAGCCAGACAAGTGGCAGCAATGAACAATGAACATACATCACAAAAGATTAAATCACTCAGATGCTCAGAAGTCCACCTCCAAAGGTGATCAGGTTGATATTTTCTCATTTGATGAAGATTCGACATGGTTTCTGGGAGTGCCTCGACTATTCAGCGTATTGCAAACAGAGTTTCTGCAAAACATGATTACCACCTTTATACCAAGATGGGTTGAATTTCGAGGTCTAGGTGCTAATTTTCCTGACTGAACACTATGCTCAGACTACAAATACCCCAGAATCACAGATCCCATTTCATTGTGGTCTGTTAGGTAAATGTCACCAGGTGAGATTTTTAATTAGCACGTCTGTTCAACTATATGTAAGGTGGCAGCCCTGCTCAAGTTTATTTGCCATCTAACAAATGGACGACAATGGGATGGATAAACAGGTCATTTCTAGAAACAATGGTCACTGTTTGCTGTATAGCAAAAATCTCTATAGGTCTAGAAACTCTAGAAATCACAAAGCAGCGATTAGAAGAACCATTTTGGTTTCCTCAAAGAACCTTTAACGGAGCAGTTTAAAAATGTGAATAATCTGAAGAACTTTTTGCCACTATAAAGAACCTTTTGTGCAATAGAAAGTTCCATGGACGTTCAATTTCTTCAAGTATAGAAATGTGAGCGCATTTAGGATGAGCCACGAGACAGGGTCACCTATCAGATATTTTAAAGGATTTGAGAAATATTGAGGTGTGATAATGGGGTTTCAGAAGAGGTGAAAGGCTAAATGGATGAAGTATACGGGCAGCTTATCTCTGCTTAAGCATCTAAATGTCGTAGATGGATCAAGCTCAAAGAGAAACTAGCTTAGCTTTGATTATGTGAAGCTGCTGAGATGTTTTCAGAGGTGTGGAGACTTTCTGCTGACTACGCAAAAATTGAAATACTGCATAACATATTAGACCAGTGGCAGGGCATACATTGAAACAGAGGGAAAATTACTATTCACCCAGGCCACTTTGGCAGATAATCATTATATTTTAAAGAGGTGGTATTTTGGTTAACCACAATGCAATGGAAAAAACTAGCCGGCTGCGTGTAGTTTGTGCACTGAGAAAGTAAAGATATTAACGAGATAAGAGAAGAAAATATATAGCTATTAATATTATGTTAAGAATATATTTATTTTATATTAAGAATAAAGTGCATAAAACAATATAAAATAAATAATAAAAGGTCTAATATTAAACATTTAGACAAAAATTGCAAGACTAACTGATATTTCTGGAAAGTTGAGTTTTTGAAACTTTCAAGAGTGTGCAAGCAAAAAATGTCAAAGACATGTCTGGCGATGTCAGCGTTACTCAGCATGCTTTTCGCTAAGTTTAGCATGACACCGTGAGATTAGATGGTGTGGTCCAACCCAGCAATACACCCTGCCATGGCTTGCTGCTTGCTAATTCTAAAAGCAAGATCTGTGCAAAAAGCAAGGATCTCAGTGTCCAGTGTGTGATAATCAAACAGAGAGCAGGTGGCCTCGGCCATTACAGCAAAACCAGAGTACACAGTGTCACGAGGAGTCATACCCTTTTTGAACAGTGAGCAGTTGGTGGTTGCAGTAAATGTTTGCACGGTTGACCAAACTGCACATTTAGTATCTGCAGTAAATTATACTAAATGTTGGATCAAGCCAATTCTGTGCAATAAATAGTTGCATAAACCCACTTTCACCATGAAATGTGCCATTATTTTTGTATAGTTTCATACTTTAAACTTTTACAACCGATATTCGTCCATAACACAATAAATACAGAAGTGTAAGGTGCGATTTATTATTTATTAATAAATTATAAATAATAAAGTAAATGAATGTAACAAAAAGTAAATAAATGATATTAATTATAAATTATGTATAAAATGTATATATTGTTTAAAAATAGAATTTTAACCCCTAATAGAAATTCACAAATTGATAAGATAAATAAATTATATTAGAGCTGGGCGATATGGCCAAAAAAATTCAAAATCAGTCGATACTGGTAATTATCACGATAAATGTCAAATCTTTATTTCTTTCAAGTTTAAAGCCAGATTTTTCCTCCACAGTGAAAGTTGTAGAACCCAGACCTTTAATTTTCCTTAACAAAATAAATAGAAAAATAGAAAAATTAATTTCTTAGTTTCTGCGTGTTCTAATAAGTGATATTGTTTCAAATCAAGAAACAGGTTTGGGTTGCCTGAAAATATTAATAATAATAATATCACTTTTTTGTCTCTTAGAAATGCACATTTGATAGTAGCTTGAGTATCACGATTATTTTTTTTCCATATTAGTCGATACCGGTAATTATCACGATAAATGTCAAATCTTTATTTCTTTCAAGTTTAAAGCCAGATTTTTCCTCCACAGTGAAAGTTGTAGAACCCAGACCTTTAATTTTCCTTAACAAAATAAATAGAAAAATAGAAAAATTAATTTCTTAGTTTCTGCGTGTTCTAATAAGTGATATTGTTTCAAATCAAGAAACAGGTTTGGGTTGCCTGAAAATATTAATAATAATAATATCACTTTTTTGTCTCTTAGAAATGCACATTCTTTCAAGTTTAAAGCCAGATTTTTCCTCCACAGTGAAAGTTGTAGAACCCAGACCTTTAATTTTCCTTAACAAAATAAATAGAAAAATAGAACAATTAATTTCTTAGTTTCTGCGTGTTCTAATAAGTGATATTTTTTCAAATCAAGAAACAGGTTTGGGTTGCCTGAAAATATTAATAATAATAATATCACTTTTTTGTCTCTTAGAAATGCACATTTGATAGTAGCTTGAGCTAGGATGCAGAGGTTTTGTTCATTATCAAAATCAGTAAAAATTGTAGCAACCTCAGTTTTATATGGTTACATTTATTCTGACCGTTTTTTTTATTATTAAGCATTGATCTTCCATAGTAGCATACATTTAAATCATGATAAACAGTTAAAACCACACATATAACACCTCAATACCATGGTAAAAATATAACTATATGGTTTTTAGGTAGCCTGTATGAAAAACAGTAGTCTAAAAAACATTCAGTATAAAAGCACACATGCTATAGCTTAATCACAAATACATACTATAATTATATACCATTACTCCTGTAATAAAATTCAATGTGAATATCCCACATTTGTGCCACAATACCATGGTGCAGTGAGTGTTACTACAGTAAATCCATGGTAAATGATGGCGTGAAAATGGAGTGATTATAACCTATTTATAAAAGTTTTTCAGCATTATTTGATGAATCAGACTCAATTGACCAATCAGAATCAAGTATTCCAGAGTGCAATGAAACAACATATAACTTCCTGTTCAAACTTGAGCAAGTGCAAATATAAGTCCCATCTCTGTCTCATTGCAGGTTGGACTTCATGACAAGACTCCATCAGCTAAGAGAGGAAAACACCATCTCTCCAGATGTTACTGAGCACCCAAACACTGACCATGGCGTCTCCATCGACCGCACCATTCTATGGAGGGCCATTCTCTCCAAATCACCACCTTCAGATCCAACAAGAAACCAATTCCACATCGGTCAGCCAATAGCAGGAGAGTCCACCAAAACGGGAGAGAACCCAAGACACAGAGGTCGTCGCAACGTGCACTCAAAAGGCCACCACAACCATCATCATGCCCAACTGATGCGTGTCGGATGCGTCCTCGGTACCTGCCAGGTACAAAACCTCAGTCATCGCCTTTACCAACTGGTCGGGCAAAGTGGACGCGAAGAGTCGCCCATTAACCCACGCAGTCCACACAGCTACGGATGAGTCTAGAGAGACGTCCGGCTAAAACTAAGACCAAGAAAACAGCGTTACACATATCTGTCCTGGTGTTTGTCTATTTTATTGCAATAGGATACTGCTGTAGTACTCTTTCCTCCTCTCTGCCTTGGTTTTCTGGAGTGTATACTGTGCCTTTTTGGACAGAAAGGACCTCTTGTTACTTGATGGCGAATTTTGAATTTGGTGCCTCTGAAACACTTTGACCCTGGCCTCTCATTTTTTGGTACTCAAACAGATTCTTTATTTTCATATTGTCGTTAAGTCTTCAGATAAGAGATTATTCCACATTACGTCCCGACTCATCTAAGGCTGTTAACTTCTACACCACTGATCAAACCGGCTGAGCCTTTAATGTGGATTTCTGTCAATGTGAGGCTCATGTGTTCCAAAAAACTCTGAACCCTCTCACCTTGTGTCTCCAAAAGGCTTTTAAGAAGAAAGCAGACTTCGGAGGTGGTGCAAGACCACCATCTGATACCTTGTCACTTGAATAGCTACTGCAACTTTGGGTTTAAATGTTGGGTTTTAGACAATGGCGAATTGTCTGAATTTATAAACACAGTGGTCCCTTGGTTGAACCCGCATAACAATACAGTAGCAATCGCCGTAGAATCCGGATTAACACATTGTTGCTTCTCCGTGTGCTTTGAGGTCTGGCGCCTGACATATTACACTTCACGTGGTTCATAAAGTCACGAGAATGAGTTATGATCCGCAAGGTCTCAGTTTCAACTCCTGCTGGGCTTTGCCGCATTTTATAAACAGAAGCAAGACTTTTCGGAGCATTTCTAAATGATGGTCATAACTCACCCATAAATACCCATAACCAAGGTTACAGCTCCATAATAGAGGCTAAAACTAGCTTAAGGGCTGCTTGAAAACCATTTTGATTGCCAAAACACTCTTAAAAAAACATTTCATTAAAAAAAAAATGTTTTTGCCATGATTTACTCATAAAGTTCCAAACTTGTATGACATTTTCATTCAAGAAGATGTTTTGAAAAATGGCCACACAATGCGAGTCAAAGGGATATGAAGTTGGTTTTGGACACCATTCACTTGCATTGTATGGACACAATCAGTATTTTTAGTAAATTACCCAATGCTTAATATCATAAATGTCCTCAAAAATGTTATTAACACACGTTGACTAGCATTGCTTCAGTAATTCTCAAACTCATTCTTATAACTCTAAATTAAAGATTCTAGTTCTACCAAAATTTGAGGAGCAAGCGTTCCAAAGTCTTTTGGGAAAATGGCATTCCAAAAGCACTCTTCCAACCGTGTCATGTATTTTAAGAATTCCCTTTTGTTATAATAATCATGTCTGAATACGTGGGTGGATACACACACCAAAAATACCCGACAGACGCAGGAAAAGTAGCTGTAAAAACCGACCAATTAAATTGAAAACTTTCAGAAACGTTCCATGCCTTTTGGGGGTCTGTGGATGTCGGGGAATGCTGTGAAACATCAAAGTACATGTCTGAGGATTAAAATAGCAGAAGTAATCCCAAAAATCCTACTTAAACATCAAAAACTCAATTCCAGCTAGGTATCCAGGCCAAACTCTCCCACTATGTGATGTATGTTATAGGACAACTTGCTTTCAAATGGCTCCAGAAAGGCAGAGAACCGACCAAAAAACCTGAATTTACTTGATACCTTTCTGTGCATTCGCATTATACTGTTCATTTGTCTTTAAACGGGCTGGAATTGGTGTTCGTAACTGTAAAAAAAAGTATTTTTCCTTGTCATGGCTGATTCTAATGATGATGATCATAGGAAGTAGTAATCGCTGATGCTTTGGCGCTAATCTGCTCAAAGGCTCTCTATATATCCGACACCATTCTCTCTGCTGTAATCGATCTGATTGATGTCTCGTGACTAATCATAATTAAAAGGCTTTTAAACTGCTGAGAGCCTGGTTAATCTGTACTTTTTGCACAGGGAGAGCCTCTTAACCTGCCTCATGTTGTTGACTTATATATTGATCACATTCCTTTTTTTTGACTATTTAACTATCTATTTATTTATTTTTGGATGAGTTGTTGTGAATGTCTTGGTGACATGGGTTGGAACGTAACAAGTGCGTCAGTATCTGGCCCTGATCGTTCTTTGTACGCGTGTGTTTTTGTGTGCTGCCCCTGTGTACTGCGTATTTTCATGACCTTTGTCCCCCTTTAAAGCCCTACTTGGTTCATTAAGTAAAACACAAGCATTAGCTTTCATGCTAATGTGGATGTGTTTGTGATGACGGAACACACAGAAAGTTATGAATCTGTGTCCTAAAGATGCGTGTGTGTGTGTGTGTGTGTGTATGAACGTCATCCTGGCCATGAGCATAACCTTACATGCTTTAGTTGATATTAAGGGTCAGTTGTGTTGTTACTACCATGCGAAGCACTTTAAAGCAAGAGCATGTTTTTCTTTTTGTCACTTGAACTTCAGATTTGTGAGTTTTGTGTACTGATTTTGAGTAGGATCTGTATGAATGTATTTTAAAGGGCGTTAGCACACCGAATGAGGACGTACTCAGTATCATGTACACAATCTTTTGTGAATACTATTATTAGGTTTGATATTTAAGTTGAAGTATTTATGTTTGCATTTGTGTATCTATCACCAAAGACGTTATTTATCGCATACAGTGTTTTCTCACACCTCAGAGTTGTCCTCTGGGTACGAAAAAAAAAAGTATATTTAGGGAAGACGTCACGCCCAATGTTCTTTTTTCTCTGTGAAATAAAGCACTACCTAGTAGTGAGATGAAATCTGATGTGTTGTTCTCTTTTAAATGTGAACAGCGGTTGTTTGTTACTTTGAAAGGACACAAGGACATCACAGAACAAATTAAAGGTTCGATAGATACTAAAAGTTTTAAGACTAAAAAATATGCTGAAGTTTGGGGTCTGTACGATTTTTAATGCTTTTGAAAGTCTTTCATGCTCATTTAGGCTGCATTTATTTAATCAAAAATACAGTAAAAGCAGTAATACTGTGAAATATTATTACAATTGAAAATAAATGCTTTCTATTTGAATATGCTTTAAGATGTCATTTATTCCCGTGATGCAAAGCTGAATTTTCAGCATCCATTGCTCCAGTCTTCAGTGTCACATGATCATCTAATAAGCAGAGATTTGGTGCTCAAGAAAAATATCTTCTTATTATCATTGTTGAAAACGGTTGTACTTCTAGAAACCAAGATGCGTTATTACTGAAGTATTAATTTCTTTCAAAAAAGAAAAAAAATTACTGATCCCAAATTTTTGAATGGTAATGTAAGAGTACTTTGACAAAAATGATTAAAGTGATGTACAGTCACATGGGTTGAAGATCTTAGTCATATATCAGAGGTCTAGAAAAATATATTTTATCTTGGTTATTGGACCTAATATGCAAAACATTTTAGCTGCAGAATAAATTTGTCATAAATGACAAATATGCCTATAAAAAGGATATCTGGAAACTCAAAACAAATTTTTTCCATGATTCTGCATCCAACCCAATAGTGTGGGTATAAAGTCCAAGACAACTATTGTATCAGTTAGCAAAATATAAACAAAAATACCATAATATTTATAATATTTTTTAAATGATTAAAAATGTTAAATAATTTGTTCAATTTATCATTCTTTTCTTTCTATTATCCTCTTTTTTTATATACTACGGAAATATTAGCAGATATTAAATAATTTTCACTTTTCGCAGATTTGCTTAAAACGCAACTCAGGTCCTCAAGTCACCTTGAACTGCCGTTATGTAACTCGTGACCACTGAATACTATTAGCAAATAAGTCTGTGTCTGTCTGCAGTATCTGTGCAGGCTTATCCGCTATCTTTATGAATCTAAAGAGCACTGAAACCACCTGAACATATTCCTTTAACACACTACAACACCCAGATTCACAAACTTTATTACACAGTGTCTCCCAGTGCACAAATCTGTGTTAATGAACCAATGATGCCCCTTGGCATCCAATACAACAAGTTAAACATTAAACTGAAGTTAGAAAGCCAACAAAATGCAATAAAAAGTGGACCCATTCTACTCATACTGGCACTGAGCTTGCAAGTCACCAATTCCACTTAGGTAGGAAAATGTGGCTTCCAATAGAGCCATTAATAAACGACCAGGCAACTTTTACATGGGCTACGCAACTAACAGCTGTGCAGACAGAAAAAGCAGGTCACTGTGAGATGGGTAAACCAATCAGCTGACCGTGTGATGGGGTGACCACAGCCTTCATGAAAAGCAGTATTACTTACAATGACGAAATTAATCTGAAGGACATATAATTAGAGATAATAAGAGGAATAAACATTTCCAAAGTCTGTAATTACTCGATTATAGGTCCGAACCAAACAAAATCCATTTTAATACAGTAAAAGGTATCAGAAATTATCTTAATAACATTTCATTATTTTATTTAGAGCAGAACACTTTTTAGAAGTCAATGTCATTGACCATGTCCTTCAAATGCATGTCTGCAAACTGCATACGACCAAATTCTTATGGCATCTGACACCGTATCTCTCATATCAGTGGACTCATGAAGTACATGAAGAGTGGGAACGTCAATGGTTGGATTTCAAGCTGGGATTGCATCATTCTTAACACACGGTTCTATTTCTATTCCTTGTCACAGGTTCTCGTAAAAAATGGTCAATTATAATTAAAAGCTGAATTCCTGAGGCACTTCAAAGTAAACTCAAGTTCAAGGTTACAGAGAAAGCTGACCTCCTTTAACCTTTCAATGATTCACAATAGATCCAGGCAGATAGTAAAGAGTGTGTTCAAAATGCTCTTATGAGAAACACTGCAATGTATATTCCCAGTATATCTATGATGTATAATCAGTATTACATTGTCTATAAAAATATTTAGTTTTATTTTATTAAACTAAGAAAAAGGCAAGTGTATGAAAGTCTTCAGCTGTTTTTATTTTGCTGTAATGTAATAAATCAGGGGCAATAGGTGTTATTTTATTATTATTTATATGTTAAATCAGGTGTTATTTTATTACATACTATATAGTTTAAATTAGCTTTTATTTTTATTTTTTCATCTTAGTTTATGTTGGTATGTGCTTTTATCATTTGATTAGTTTTTTTATATATATTTCTCAATAGTTTTATTTCAGCTATATGTTTATTTAGTTTAGTTTTATCAGTTATTTTCATCTAATATTTAATTTTATTTGACTGTATTTTAGATTAATTTAAAAAAATAGTTTTAAAGTGGAGTATTTGATTAAATGAGGGAAAATATACAGAAGCAGATACACTGGGTAAAAATATGCTGAGGAAATTTACAGAATCTGGCCTGGTTAAAAAAATGAACAAATATTGTTCGAATGTATTTTTATAATATGTGCTTAAGTAAATCAGGGTGGTACCAGCTAAGTGTCTGAGAAAAGAGTCAAATATAGACGCGCCTCATTTAACTAAAGTAATCAGAACATAAACGCAGCATGCTGTATTTTGCAACATGCAGTTTTTAGTCATTTCTAAGGATAAACTGGGTAATTATAGCCATTTAACTTTATGTTTTAAAAAAAACATCAGTTAACAATATGTCAACCTCAACCAGAATGAATTTCCACGCTGTTTCGGGCTGGTTTATTATCATAAGCACACCAGCAACCAAAGCTTAACACTAGAACTACCAAGGCAGTCATTTTGACCGCCTTTTTTAAATTTTGCAATGTAATAACTTTATTGCAATAAAACCCATATAACTATTATACCCTGACTTTTCTTATCAGATGCAGTTCTTCTCAGCAAGGATCTCACGGCTTCACTGTGAATAGAAATGCATATATCTCTGAACATAGGAAGGTAAATGGCAAACATCTTCAGGCACAGTGTGTGGGAGAGCACTGAA